ATGCAAAAAAAAAAAAAAAAAAAATGCAAGTCACACACTGGACAAAAGCGCAGAGCTGCGGTCTCGGAGAAGTCACACACCAGACAAGCAGCGGTCTAAAACGGTTTATTTAATCACCAAACGGACATAAGTTTGCTTCAAGAATGAACAATGTGGCATAAATGAGTTTGAAGTTCGGTGTTTAAAAAAACCTCTCGTACTGTATAATGGCAGCGGACCCTTCTCAGCCACTCCAGCAACCCGGAAAACTATCGGCATTGATTTTTGCCGATAACCGATAGTTCCGCCAATCAACTATCGGTGCCGATTAATCGGCAAAACCAATGAATCAGTCGACCTCTAGTTAGGACAGCTGAAAGGATAATTGGTGTGCAGCTGACCAAACATATAATGCACAAATCTGTACATAAATCTTCTGTTCCAGATGCGTACCACTTTTTTTTTTTTCCTTAAGTCTTACAAATGTTCTTTCTGTTCTCAATGTCATATATGTTTGCTCATTCTGATTCTGATATGTTATTACCTGCTGGCAGTCTTTAAAGAGCAGCTTTTCCTGTGGCTTCTGTCGCTGCGAGAATCCCAAAGCAACTGCACATACACAAACATGTTAAATATATGTAAAACGCCACACACGTATCATCATACAGTGACATGATACATGATGATTTATTACACGCATACAGGCCTGAAACTCAACATGCCATAAATAAAGCATAGACATCTTACTTGGTCTCTTCTGGCCCCAGAGCTGAACCACGAGCTGCAAAAGAGGGCAAACAAACTCTTAAAATAAGCCAGATGTTAATTTATGGATTTGGATATATTACAAAAATATAATTTATAAAAAATAATTTCTATTACAAATAACTCAATAAAAATGCATTTCTCATGAAATAATCATTGTTAAATGAAAATTATTACATTCAATTAATGTAATTTAAAATATGAATGTACTTAATGCAATTTAAATGCTAAATTAAATAAACAAAAATCATTAAACAACAATGTGGCAATATCTATTTTATTGAGATAAAACAGCAAATTAAGTACTTTATAAATTTGACAATTTTATCTTTTATTTATTAAAAAAAGAGGTGAATGCATAAAAAAAATCATATACTTCATAACAAATGAATAAGTCAGACATAAAAACGCTAAAACTAATGATCACAGAGCCAATCGCTATGTTGATCTGCCAGACACCTCTGAGCCAATCAGGACTTACTCATGAGGATCCTGGGATAATCTGGGTAATCTATCAGGAATTCCTTGAGAGGTTCCCTGTTGGGAAAGAGAATTAAAAACATCACATATACATAAATCTTAAACAATGAGTTCATATTTTAGACAAGTGCACATACCTGTGATTGCTGAAGACAGGCCTGTCTCGCGAGCCGCACTTGAAACCCTGAAAAAAACAGGACTTTGTTAAAAACCAGTCAGAGACAAGGCCTAACTATTAACGAACATGCTCCAAATGAACAGGAATACATTTCTCCAGGTATAATAAGCCTCCTTAGAACATGGACACCATTACCAGATACCACATTCTAAGGCTGCACTATTTAGAGGAAAAAATCTAATTGCAATTTTCCTGATAAAAATTGTCAATGCGATTTAAATAGTGATATTTAAAAATTTGACTAAATAAAAATATAGAAGTTACTAAGTAAAAATATAGAAGTTACTAAGTAAAAACAAATTAAGAGACATTATTGTAACACTTCACTGTAAATAAAAAAGACAAATGTAGCAACGTTTGTATTTAAGAAAAATGCGCCAACTTTTATATTTTTATTTAGTAATAATAATAATAATAATAGCAATATAAAAAGTATTATCAGTATTAGTATTACTGAATAACAACAAAATAAGAAATATAAAAAATTTATATTAATATTATAATAATATTATATTTCACTGTAAAATAAAAAATTAAGGATTAAAGACTTAAATTTACTTATATTTTATATAAGTACATTTTTATAATTATTAAATAAAAACAAATGTTACTTAAGAAAAGCAAAATAAGAATTAATACTATTGTAATATTTCAAAATATAAAAAAAAATGCAGCATTAAAGAATCTGTAAATTTAATATTTCTATTGAATAATAATAATAATGATAATAATTACTATTATTTGTAGTAATAATAGTAGTAAATAAAAATATAAAAGTTACTTCAAATCAAAATAAGACATATACTATTGTGATATTTCATTAAAATAGAAAAATTGAGTATTAAAGGAAAATTTTGTAACTTTCATATTTTTATTTAATAACAATAATAATCAAAATTAAATAAAAAAATAAAATAAAATAAGTTACTAAATAAAAAATGACTACTACCGTACTTTCACTGTTAAATAAAATATTAAAGAACCATTTTGTAACTTAAGTTTTTTTTATTAGTAATAATAATTATAATTGTGATTATTATTGTTATTAAATAAAAATATGAAAGTTAAAACCAAATGAGAAAAATTACTATTGTCATACTTCAGAGTAAAAACAAAAAAGATCATTAAAGAAAAATAATAAAAACTATGATAAATTAAATAAAATTACAATACTAATAATACTGTCTTCATTTCATAATTTTTAAACATTAAACCATCAAACTTCAATTTTTTATTTTTAGATAGTGAGATGAAGATTCATGATGACCTTTTATATGGTCTTTGTTGCCTCCATAATGGTTTGTACAGCTCTGTCCTCTGGTGGACACACATGTGAACTACAGTGTTAGAGCTGAAGGTTGTGTGTCTGAACTCTCACCTCTTTGAGCTCCCTGTGACATTAACGGGAACGCTCCGGTCAGGATGCTGTTGAACACGGGGTCATTGAGGTCCAGTTCATTAGAGTCTCTCTCCCACCACGGCACCACACCCGCGATTCCACAAGCCCCGCCCAGCTCGCCGTCATAGAACCAATCGCTCTGCTCATCGTCACCTGAAACACACGCAACACTCAAACACGAGCTGTTCATTCTATACATGATTTATGGTGATTATGAAATATATGAGTACACACACCTTGTCTTCCCTCATCGTTTGTGTACAGACCCCCATCACTGCTGTTACTCACGCTGCTCGTCTCGCTGTAATCACACACATTACACATCGTTTTAAGCCTTTGGTGTGAAATAAAAAGGAATTTCACAAAACATGTCAAGGTCACAAAAGAAAAAGGACGAACATTTTGAACAAACAATATGCTCTTTCTTTAGGAATATTAAGACTGTTAACATTGTGAATATTTTCATAACACTTCAGCACATTTCCCCCAAAATTTTCATTATCGTAATGCATCGAAATACTTTTTGAGTAAAAAATACCTTTTTTTTGTAAATCTCTCAATGGTGATTCTAATTAATTAAAATACTAAAAAATAATTTAAAATAAAAAATTAATGAAAATTTTAACAAATATTTGACTGTACTGATTCTAATATTCAGTATTATAGTAGAATATTAGTGTAATATAATTATTTTAATTTATTGTTTACTTTTATTTATATTTAAAATGATTACAATATTAACACGGCTATAAAATAATAATAAAAATAATAATAATATAAAAGTTACTAAGAACAAAATATTATTAGTATTGTAATATTTCACAATAAAATTAAAGAAAAATTTAGTAATTTTTATTTTAGTATTTTAATTAAAATCAGCATAATTTAAGGCATTAAAAACATGACCATAATATAATTTAAAGAATATGACAATTTAAATAATATGCCATTGTGCTATTCATGTTTTATTTTGGCATTATGCATTTTTTGTGCATTACGGTAATTAGATAATTAGGTTGGGTGTAAAAAAAATTGTCATGAAAAGAACATCGACGTAGAAAAAGAATTTATGCAAAACAGAATTTCCTATTTTTCTTTTTTTTTAGCATTTTGAAAGATCTTGTTCTGAAGGACAGAGAAACGGGAAGAGGAGGGGCTAGACAGGAGAGAAGAACACTAACCACCTGTCACTCATCTCCTCATCTGAGCCTTTCTGCTCCTCAAAGTCCATCTTATCTTTGGCCGTTTGTCCCGCCTCTTCGCTCTCCACCACCACGCCTTCGTCTGCCGTGTCCTGTGCGAGTCTCTGCACCATAAACTTCCTTTTCTTCACCCTGTTTTTGTTCCCGTTGCTCCCTTTGGCCTCTGGACTAAACCCTACCTCCCTGCAGCCGCCCACCGTTGTCGCTCTGGAAGGCGGCGCCAGCATGGTGGCGACATCTAGTGGCGGGTCCACAGCCATGCGCTTGACTTTCCGACGCCTTCGCAAACTGCGCGTTCCCAAACCATCCGCTCCGCTCAAGTCGTCCAGCCACAGCGGTCTCTTCCCCCTGCCGGAGTCAGCAGTGAGTGGTGTACGCCGCTTCGCACCCAGCTGCTCATCCGAGTCGCTGTTGTTGTCGCGGGTGTGAGCGCCCCCTGCTGCCGTGGATGAGCGGTAGTCTTTCTGCTCCTCTATGCTGGACTCAGAGCCTTCGCTCAAGTGGCAGGTGTCCCACGGCGGGTGAGGGTTATCGGACCGGCGTTTACGGCCACGCCGCTTGCGAGCCTGGCGTTTCAACAGGCACCCGACGGCCAGGGCATGATCTCCACCGTCTCCAAACCCTCCACGGGCTTGTTCTGAACTCTCCTCCAGAGCAGACACCAGGTCATGGACCAGCTCGTCCATCGTCCGCCGAAAGTGCCTGATCAGAATGAGTGAAATTAGGTGAAAAAGAAAATGAAAGAGCAAATGAGAAAGAAAATCTATTTGTTTATAATGACTGGATTAGAATTTTTTAATATAATTTAATAGAGATAGTACTATCAGAGCAATTTCTAGTCATGTACATTCACAAAAAAATTGCCATGCCATGTCACATAATTGCCACATAATGGTTTATTAATTTCTATGACTTTTCTATTATTTATTTTTCTTATGTTTAATGGTCTTTCTATTATTTATTTGATTGATTTTCCTATTTTTAACATAATTTCTATTCATTTATGCATTATTAATGGGACTTTGTTTGGGATGGTCACCAGGACCTGGACCAGCTTGTCTGCCAAAAGTGCCTAATCAGAATGAGTGAAATTAGGTGAAAAAGAGAAAAAAACAATTTGTTCATAATGACTGAATATAGAATTTTATAACATAATTTAATAGAGGTTGTACTAACAGGGCATCTGCTTAAAAAAATCGTCCATGATTTTTTTTATGAATTGCCATGTCACATAATTGCCACATAATGATTTATTAATTTCTATCATTTCTCTATTATTTATTTTACGACTTTTGATTTCCATAATTTTTCTAATATTTATTAATTCATTCATTTTATTCATTTAGGGACCAACATCAGGTCATGGACCAGCTTGTCCATCGTCCACCCGAAAATGTCTGATCAGAATGAGGGAGATTAGGAGAAAAATGAGAAAAGAAAAAAGTCTATTTATTTATAAGGAGTGGGTAAGGATTATTATTATTAAATATAATTTAATAGAGGTTGTACTAACAAGGCAATTTCTAGTCAATTAAATATTTTAGAGCTAAAAGCAGAAACATGTATATTTGCTTAAAAAATTCATGATTTTTAAAAATTATTTGGTTTATTAATTTCTATGACTTTTCTATTATTTGTTTTATTTTTACATGTTTTTACTATTATTTATTAAAGTACTTTTAAATGCCAGGGAATCCCAATTTTCTCTGTTATTTACAGGTTGTACACGACAGGGAATTTTTAAAGTCGATATATAAATGCAATTCTCAGGATTTAAGCTCATAAGCAGATGGTGGTGATGATATCAGATGGTATTGTTTGACCTTCTCAATGGCAGTGTCCATATATAATGCTGGTAGCAATACTAAGACACTTTTTATGAGGGCTGGATTTATAATTAATATGGATAATCAATCAGTTGATCGATGGTTTCAAGCTCTGTCTTTGAATAATAAACTACAGTATTAACACAGTAAATAAAAGTACGTTACTGGTATAAAGGTCCAGTGATGGTAACGTTAACGGGCGGTAATGCCACGGTAGTTTTGGTAACGTTAATGTATTATTACCATAATCATGTACTGTGGTGGTATTTGATTTTAAAGAATACCATAGTAAAATATTAAAAACTACATGGTAATACAATGGTAGTTTATTGTGAGTATGATCGGGTCAGAAATCCACACATCAAATAATAATCGGCTCTAAATAAACCGACGGCATAACACGCGAGACACATACCAGCCGGTTCCCGCTTTACCGAAGCTCTTGATCTCAGCGGCGCGGAACATGAAACCCGCAGAACACGACAAAAACTCACGGGAAAAGATTGAGGCCGCGCCGACGAACCATACCGCCTCAACAACAACACCACCGCGGCGCCGGAAACGGACTACAAGACATAAAAGACACGCATCCGGCGACGAAAAAACCGTATGCTTTCAAAGTAAAAGCCGATAATAATAATAATAATAATAATAATAATAATAATAATAATAATAATAATAATAATAATAATAATAATAATAATAATAATAATAATAATAATAATAATAATAATAATAATAATAATAATAATAATAATAATAATAATAATAATAATAATAATAATAATAATAATAATAATAATAATAATAATAATAATAATAATAATAAATAAAGAAGCAAAGCATAAGATCAATAGCGAAATCTATATGGAAAACAAATTGTAAAAAAAACTTCTCTCCATTATTTAGGTTCATTATATATATATTTTTTATTGTTTTTATGTATTAGGTTTATTATTTACATTGCTAATATTCTCCATCTTTTGTTGTCTGAAAGCCTTTTATCTGGCCCTCTAAGTTATTTTACTTCCCCATCACTTCTTCATCCTCATTTACAATTTGATTAAGCTTAATATCTGAAATACGTTTTTAAACAAACAAATTCAAATGTCAGAATATAAATAAAAAAAACATTTTATTAACACATGTACCATATACAAACAAAAACATACTTATTGTCCAAGGACTTTTTCATTCCCTTTTTTATTTCCCCATCCCCACCCCCACAGTTATTTTATATAACTGAATGATAAAATGTTAAGACAAATAAATAACATTATAGGAATAAAAATATCGTATATTGTATATTTGTACTGCTTTTATTTATTAGGTTTATTGTTTATATTATCAGTGTATTTTTGCTGATTTATAAATCCTTTTATTATCTGACCTTATCTTTCCCACCACTTATCTTTTTATTAAGCTTCATTTTTAAACAAACAAAAACAATAAATAAATAAATAAATACATTTTTAAAAATCTGACATTTACATTAAACCTTCAGAAAAAAAATATTAACACACTTACACATATAAACATAAAAACACTTTATTTAAGTTTATTTTCACTTGTCATTTCTCATTTTATTATTTTTTTCTCTGTATTTTTATTTTATTATGTATTAATTTTGTGCTACTTCTTTGTGTCTTTGAATGGTTCATTTAATTTATGTGTGTGCATTTAGACTGTGAACTTGAGGGTCTCACATGAACTTGGCCCCCTCACATTACCACAAACACAGTTTACAGTCTCTGCCTCTCATAAACATGCTGAAACACAGATCTGCTCTCTGATCATCTGCAGTTATTTCTAACTTCGGCTGATTTCTTCTGCAACATTTGCATATTGAAACATCTGCATTAGATTTAAACTGGTTCTGAGAAGATGTGTGATCATTACAGTGGCCATGCAGAGAGAGGATGAGAGGGATGAGAATGAAACTGGAAGTGACCTGAAATTCCAGAGCAGAGAAGAAGCCATCAGCTCCAGCTGGTCTTGGGTAACCTGCTGTCTTTGTTTAGTTTTGGTGCTAGCACCAGTTCAAAGTCTGGACACACCTACTAATAGTAAAGTGCTGAAATATTACACAAATGAAAGTATGTGAATTATGCAGTGACCAAAAATAGTTAAACAAGTCGAAAATATATCTTATATTTTAGCTATTTCAGAAGTTGTCACCCTTTGAGTGGACGTCGCTGCACATGCATCTCTTATTATAGTTAACTAAAACTACATTCATATAAAAAATTGTTGCTGGAAGTAAACATGAAATAAGCAATACAAAAAACTACATATATATATATATATATATATATTTATTTATTTATTTAATCTATATCAAGTAAATGCATCTCGATTTAAGTATGATTAAGTATTATATTTCAATTGAAAATCAAGACAAAAATACTGAGGACGATATTCATTTTTTTGCAAAGCATGCAACATTTAATGGCGACTATCAATTTAAGACTTTCTGCTCCGATTTAAGACCTTGCCTTCATTTGTGGAACAGCCCTGTATATAAGCAAATTAATAAGGCAGACAGACTGAAAAAACCATGTGCATAACAGAGTCAAAACACAAAACAATTCAACGTGGCTGTTTTACCTGTAGGTTAGTAAAGCACAAACACGCGAGTGAAGTAGCATGACTCAAAACCTCAGGAAACCAATCTCTTGTGTCCTCTTTCTCTCTCCGTCTGTCTGCTGTTCCTCTGATGCATGAGGAGATCACAGCACTTTTGTTCACATGCAAATCTCTGATCTGTCTGGTGCATAGAAATGTTTTTTGGGGACTTTGTATGATTTTGTAACTTTTTATGTAGTTTTGTGTTCATCATAATACCACATTTCCGGCCTGGGCCTACTGCAGAACTAAGGAAGAGTTCAAAAGATTTCAAGCTCTAAACAGCAAATAGAATTGTGCAGGTAGTAGAATCCCAGGTAACAGGTTATAACAAAACGTTGTGGGAACATTGTTTTGAAATGTTTCAGAAATGTTGAAATGTCCGGTTATCTTGTAGTGATTATAACGTTATGGAAAGGTTATAAAAACCTTTTTTATGGCATTTTACTAATTTTATTTTGAACCAGAATATAACGTTATTTGAATGTTTATTTTTAATATTCTAAGAATGTTAAAATGTCCAGGTCTCTTGTCGAGATTAGAACATTATTTAAATTGTACAAAAACATTTCTTTTAATGTTCAAGTAGGCCATCATGAGGATGGTTTGAAAATATTGTTCTATGAACGTTTTCTCTCAACATTATGAGAATGTTTATCAGGTACAAATAATATCATAAGGATGTTCAAAGAATGTTGATCTCACATTTTCTCTCAATGTTATGAGAATGTATCAAATATAAAGTTATAAGAACATTCCAAAAACAATACTTTATGTACATTTTGTCCTAACATTTATGTAACTTTTAGAAAACATTAGTGAAAGTTGTGAGAATGTTCCCTGTCAGCTGGGATGAATATAGTTTATGAATACATAACTTAAAAATATTAAAAACTAAATATATTTTATGTTTTAATATAGATTTTTAGTGTATGATTAACCTAATCAGTGCTAAGTACGTCATTTACATCTACCCATATTGTCTTTAAGATTCCTTTTCATCATAACAAAGTACAAGCTTTATTATTATTTTAGTTTATTAATTTATTTCAACTTGCCTATACGTTATTTAATATTTAGACATACAAAATAATATAAAAGTTATAATAATAATAATAATAATAATAAAGAAAGCATAAACACAATTGCTCAAAAGTATTTCATTAATCCACTTAGCCATCTATTTCTTATTTTGGAGGAATACTAATACAATTCTGCAAACTTCTGTTGAGATAAATGTTGGAATTTGTGATTGTAAATAAAGAGAATCTAGCACACATTGCATTGCCAGAAAATCTGAAGACGGGAAATGAATCAGGGACACAGTTTTTGAAATGGTTCATTTAAATGAAGTGTCCAGAAAATTAATTCACTAAGAGCCTGTTTACACTTAAAGTCCCCATGAAATCAAAATTAAAGTTTTTTGGGTGTTAGTATCAATATGTTAGTCTTAAGGTTATCTATAAGGCAGTGTGCTCCAAAACAGTGACAAAATTCGCATTTAGAAGATATAAGCATTCAAAGCTTGCAGTTCGTCACTTCCGCCAAAACGGCTCAACGATTTTTTTGACGTCACATCGTACTTCAGCTTCTCATCAAACTTTCTGTCCAATCAAATGCTCTCTAGAATCCGAAGCGCCCGCCCCCTACACTATAAAACAGACGCTGAAGCCGCGGCTGAAATCGGTCACTTGTCCACAGAATTAGTATTTTCTGTACAGTGAATGGCACGTAGTGCACTATATAGGGGACAGGGAACGATTCAAACAGTGTAAATATGCTTTCCATTGAGGAAAAAAAGAAGTCTGGTTTCCTGTTTCAGTTAAAATGACGTCAACACAGAGTAAAGTCTCATACACACCGGGACGATTATCGCACGCGCTTATCGCCGACATTTTTCGATGTGTCTTTTGTGTTCATACCCAAGCGATTTTCGCAGGCGATGAGCCGAGTAAACATGCAAATTCACTCCCTGACATTAGATGGCGCTTAATGAAAAACAGAAATACCCCGGTACACATCGAATCCTA